CCCCCCCCCCACACACACACACACACTCTCGGAAAACAGGGCAGAACACAGAAATCACTGCAAATCAGTCCAGCAAGCAGCAATACTCAGAAAACAGCAGATTTCAGTCTGCAACTTTGCACATCTGATTCATTACACCTTCTATAAGTTAAAATGCCCTGTCCATGACCCCCTGGAGGCTTTGCTTTGTTTGCCCACTCACAACAACGTTAAAGCAGGCTGTGACTCAAAGCATTGTGAGGGGATTCGGCAGACTGAAGAGGGTTCAGCCTCCTAACGAGTTGGTGTAAGTCTCTGATGCAACACTCTGTCACTACTCTTGTGTTCCGTCAAAAGAAAAAAAAAAAAAAAAAAGATATGTAGCCAGAGGCAAGGTAGCAGAAACCAAGGAGATGAGGCTGAGGTGGAGGGAGTGGCATAACTCAGAGCCATCACAAGGAAGCCAGAACTCTGAAATGAAGAGACATCAGAGTCCCATACAGTCGTGAGGGTCGAGGACAACAGCAGTTCAAACAATCCAACGAGAGTGAGATCATAAGCAAATAAAAACAGCACAGGCTTCTTGATTTCATGGAATCATGAAGGTGTTCATTCTTCTCACCTGCAGAGAACTCATATAGGCAGGGCGATCCACCTTCAACCTCCTGCTTCGTGTCCGCATCAATGCAGGGTGCAAACACTGTTCTCCAATCTGAGCCCCAGCATCTCAAATTCTCCCAGTGTGAAAGGTTTTTCTTGCAGGTGGTCAGATAAACTCGTGAAGGACTAGTGGCAGAGAAATCACATGATGGCGTGGTGAATAGAGTGGGGCTTTCATCTGTCCAACAATGACCCTCTGTTCTGCAGAGAATCTCACTGGAGCTGGCATTCTCAACGTTGCAGGCAACAACACCATTTGGATTCATTGAGCTCTTAGGGACTTCCATGAAAACTACGTTTGCCCAGTCCGGATCAGCAGAAGGAACAAACCCTTCGCCTTTAATTGTAACAAGGGTTCCACCGGCCATGCTTCCTTGCTGTGGAGAGATGGAGAATATACCTGCAAGTGCAATGCACAGTGGTTGGGTGAAAGAGGAGGTTAAAATGGGATAAGGGGAGGACAACACAAACTGGTGTGTGAAAAGCAGCACCAATGTTTCCAAAAGCAGAAAGGTCATGCTGTTCGTAGCAAACCTGCCAAAATTTACAAGAAGCTCATGGTATGACCCTTGCTAAATTCAATGATGGAAGCAGCCAACATGCACTCATGAGGTCCAGTGCAGCATCACAATGACAAAAGAATTGAGAATGAGAGGGGAGAAAGAAGACAGAGAACAAAGACGAGAGGAATTGAGCTCAAGACAACAATAATCACCACTTCCCCGCCTTAGAACATCGTCATCTTCACTATCAAAGAAAGAATGAAAGACATGACAAAGAAAGAAACGACCGCCGTTTTTTCCTCAACTCTGCCCTGAACAGTCCACAAGGCAAACCGTGGACCCTCATGAACGACAATTCCAGATGGGGCACATGGTTGGAGAAAGCAATCCGGCAGATTAAGCATATATGGAACAACGATAAAAAATGCTGGTCAACCACCAAAGAGATGTGTATCCCTTTTAAGGACTGTCACAATCTTCACGACAATCTGAATGCCATAATAAGATCAGTACCCCCAGAATGGACACGGCTGCTGCAGCGGGTTCACGACTGGCGCCCGGGAGACTGGGCCACCCGGACATATGAAAGTGCACCTGCCACTGCCATCATGATGGCCTTCATCACCGTGGAAGGGCCTGGCCAGGAATGGGTCACCATGGACATCCATGAAATTACTCACCCAGGTGCCGTACAGAGCCCAGTTAACAAACTGTTGGCAACCTAAGTGACTGCCAGACCACACAATCTCCGAAGTTCCGGCTCCAATAGACCCCGCCGAATGGGGCTGGAAGACCACCACTCCCACCGGAGCGGTTCAGCGAACCTGGAACATCGTCCACTGTAAAAGCAGACTAGGCTACAGCCTCCGTAGAAGACAGCAAAATGTACCTGCAACCCTTTCCATCCGTATAACACCCGTCTGAGATCCTTCCAATGGCTACTCTTCCATCTTGCCCAAACCGTCAATCAGCGGCTGAATGAAAGGAGAAGTACGTAAAATCGAAGCCATCTAAACGAGTTAAGTGCAGCACACAACGAGGGTGCAGTCCAGGATATTAGCCACTGTCTTCTCTTCTGCCAGAATGCCAGTGACTTCTGGCCACGGGCGGCTTCATTCTGGGAAGCCATAACCGTGAAACCTTTTCCGACTGGAACTGTGACCAGACCCAGCGGCTTTGCACTCCCTCCAGGCCTTGCGGGGTGGGACCGCACTGTAGCAACGAATAAGGCTTCACTCACTGTGGCTCATTTGGAGACAAAGATGCCAACAGACGCTCCACCAAACGCAACCCACAGTCCCCTCAACATGGAACAACTTCAGAGAGGACCTGGAGCTGAATACCACACCGATTGGGCGCAGACAAAACGTCTTATAAAGGCTGACCCGGACAGAGAACAAGACATCAGACAGAAGCTTGCCCTAGCAGAATATCCCCCCAAACCCGTACTCCTCCTCCTCCCTTTCCGAGCAGCTCGACCAACCGTGGTGCAGGGAGCCCTCCTCAGAAGCCCAAAGGCGCAGCCAACAGGCACAGTGGTCGGCAAAGGCCCGACAGGTCAACGGCAAGCCAACACCGGGAACAAAGCTGTGGACACAGCGTTGGCAGTAACAACAACATGGCAGGAGCAGCCTGTTTAACAGGGGAATGAAGGGAATGACCTCGATTAAGATGGGCTAAAATGATCACTTCCAGTGCAACATCTGGGGATGACAACCTGCAACTCACAAGCTGCAACTCACAGAGGTGCTGCTGACTGGCGGGTGGACTACCAGATCCGGACCGTTTGACCGGACCTTCATTCTGCTTGGGGGTTGGGCAACTGCTGCACTGGGGTATCCCCGTGCGAACCAGCCTCATGGCCCCTCGTCCCCCCCCCCCCCCGCCCCTCTCTCTCCCCCAGGGGCCCATTGGTCACCAGAGCGCATGGAATGGCTACATGATGGCACACAGAAAGTAGCAGCTCGGGAGAAAGACAGTACAGACTGGCTGGGGCAGTCGGGGACAGGCCTACTAGGCGGGGAGCGCCGGAGACACTCCTATCACCACTCCTAGTAAGCTGAACCCAGCCTTCCCTCCAAAAAAATAACAAAACTGAAAAAAAGCAAGCCAAGTCTCTATTGCAGCGCCCATGAACAAAAAGTACAGCACCATCACTTCCTAGCATCTACAATGAAGAAGCAGACACCTTGATAGGCAGGGGGATGTGGGTGCAAATGTGATCTCGGGAGTTCAAGAAAGAGGAGGCCCTGCTGAGCGCCTTCTCATCTGAGCAGGACCTGGGCGGGGGAAGTAGTGCTTGGGAGGGTGATCAATCTCAGCAGGACCAGGGAGGAAGAAACGGCAAGGAGGAGGATGAGCCCCTACTCGACACGCCCCCGACCTCTCTTGTTACATCTTCGACTCACACGGGTCCTACCGGACCCGACTTAGGGCCGGAGGGACACACCAGGGCCTAAAGGCCCGACCTTTGGGGTTTACAGGCCCTAAAGGCCTGATTTTGGACTAATCCCATCGGGTAGGCCCAAACGACACTTCGTTTGGGCCTGGCGGCGCTCTTGAAGCTG